TCTTCGAGAACAACTTGTGTTCAAATCGAAAAAAAATCTGTGAAATGGCAATGGCTGTATCTTCTTCATCTTCTTCAGGGATCACGAGCTCTGCTTTCTCTCGTTCCGCCATTTCTTCTGATCATAAAGGTGTAAACAAGCTTTTGAATTTCAAATTTTCCTCTCGAAATCTGAGAAATTGATTGATGTGTCAATGTGGGTTTTTAGTATTGCATATCAAATTCGATTTAAAAATCCAAATCTAATTTCGTTTTTCATTGTCTCACAGTATCGCAAATTGGCTCGTTGAGGTTATTGGATCGTGTTCATGTTACTCCGATGACTCTGAATCTATCATCTGGGAAGCGATCTTTTGTTAAACCTTTAAACGCAGAGCCAAAGACGAAAGAATCAATGATTCCTAATGCAGCAACAACAGCAATGGTAGCTGAAATTGCAGAGGAAGTAGATCATCATGTAATTGAGATTGAAGATTTTGAACAACTTGCAAACAAGTTAGAGAATGCTTCACCTCTTGAAATTATGGATAAAGCTCTTGAGAAATCCGGGAACGATATCGCAATCGCATTTAGGTATTTACATATATATATATTATAGATTGATTCAATGCGATTTCTGAAATCAAATTTTGTTCATAGACTGAGTTTTTGTTGTGTGTGTTTCCAGTGGTGCAGAGGATGTTGCTTTGATTGAGTATGCTCATTTAACTGGGAGGCCATATAGAGTATTTAGTTTGGATACAGGGAGATTAAACCCCGAAACGTATCGGTTTTTCGATGCGGTTGAGAAGCATTATGGGATTAGAATTGAGTATATGTTTCCTGATTCTGTTGAGGTTCAAGGTTTGGTTAGGAACAAAGGGTTGTTTTCTTTCTATGAAGATGGTCATCAAGAGTGTTGCCGTGTTCGAAAGGTGAGACCTTTGAGACGTGCTCTCAAGGGTTTAAAGGCTTGGATCACTGGACAAAGGAAAGATCAATCTCCGGGAACGAGGTCTGAGATTCCTGTGGTTCAGGTTGATCCGGTTTTTGAAGGTTTGGATGGTGGAGTTGGTAGTTTGGTGAAATGGAATCCGGTTGCGAATGTTGAAGGGAACGATGTTTGGAATTTCTTGAGGACTATGGATGTTCCGGTTAACACATTGCACGCGGCAGGGTATGTTTCGATCGGATGTGAGCCCTGCACGAGAGCGGTTTTACCGGGACAGCACGAGAGGGAAGGGAGATGGTGGTGGGAAGATGCTAAGGCTAAGGAGTGTGGACTTCACAAAGGCAATATCAAGGATGATGCTAGTAAGGGTAGTGTAAACGGGGAATCGAAATCCGCTGTTGCAGAGATCTTTACGAGTGAGAATCTTGTGACTTTGAGCAGGCAAGGGATTGAGAATTTGATGAAGTTGGAGAACCGTAAAGAGCCTTGGATCGTTGTGCTTTATGCCCCATGGTGTCCCTTTTGTCAAGCCATGGAAGCATCGTATGATGAATTGTCCGATAAACTGGCTGGAAGCGGGATCAAGGTTGCGAAATTCAGAGCCGATGGTGACCAGAAGGAGTTTGCAAAGCAGGAGTTACAGCTCGGTAGCTTCCCAACCATACTTGTCTTCCCAAAGAACTCTTCAAGACCGATCAAGTATCCATCTGAGAAGAGAGATGTCGATTCTTTGACTTCGTTCTTGAATCTTGTCCGGTGAATAAACCGCAAAAAAAACTAGTCGACATTTCTATGTAAAAGAGATCAAATAAGAACCATTTCATCTCGTTCCAGATTGCTAGAACAGATGAAGTTGGTGTTCGAAGAATCAATTCAGGGCTTTAGGTCACAGATTTAGAAATCTGCTCTGCAACAAAGCTTGAGTAATTGCAGTATTGTAAGGTTTCAAATTTGCACGAGCGTTGAATTTTCATGTAAATTTATGTGTACGAGTGAAATGAAGATCATGTTTCTTTGCAATTCATATCAAATTACATATTCGAAATGAATATTATGAATCATAACCAGAGTAAACAGGGTTGTGTAATTGATGATTCTCCATGTGAATTAAATAGTCAAATTAAGATCCAGTTTCTTTGCATACATATCAAATTACCATCAAATACAAAGATTTACCTCAAAGTCGAGATTTTTAGGAATCAAAACCAGAGTAAACACCACTCTCTCTCAACTGTCTCTTCTCTTCTTCAACGTAATTCTTCCCTCGACTCGCCTGTCCTAAATCTCTCTTCTTCTTCTCCTTTTGTGAAAAAGAGAGATTCTTCTTATCACTCCGCAACTGCGCATTCTCAATCGTCTGGCCACCCGCAACAGCAGCTCTAGTAGCTTCTCGTTCTCGATAACTCTCTTTCACTTCCTCAGTTCTATGCTTATCCTTTCCCGTATCCCATGACCAATCCGGTTTTTCCTCAGGAGCAGGAATATCAGGAAGTCCAACGGCTTTGTAACCGTGCTGTTGCAGAGATTCATAGTCGAAAGCTTTCTTATCTTTCTTCGCAAACCTCGCTGCAGAAAACGGTAAAAAGATAAAAACAAAGTTACATTAAGAGATCTCACAATGTTAAAACAACAAGAACAATATAAAGGGTTTTTGGCAACCTATTGGCTTCTTGCTCTTTC